AACACAATAATATTCTCACGACGTTTCGGCCACAACACAAGCGGCCTTCATCAGGTGAAGGGACGAGACTGTCTGGTAGGACAGTGCTGGAGTGAAAGAGCCACGTTCAGATCACGACCTTTAAGCTGTGTGAGAGGAAACAAAGCGCCTTGACAAAGGAATTAGCATATAATTTAGCATTGAAATGGCTGAGTGATTAGCTTGTGGCTGGTCACAGAAATGGCTATGTTAAAAGTTAAAGCATACACATCCGCAGAGGCACCCCTTGATAAAGGAATTAGCATAGAATTTATTATTGAAATAGCTAAGTTAAAGCATACACATCCGCAGAGGCACCCCTTGACAAAGGAATTAGCATAGAATTTAGCATTGAAATAGCTGAGTGATTAGCTTGTAACTGGTCACAGAAATAGCTACGGTATTTTAAAGAATCTTAGGCCGGTCCGGGTTCCACGTCAGGCTGGCCACAGCGGTGGTCGAGCCCCGGGGTGAGCGATGCCGACAACGGTCACGTTTGGTTAGTTTGGCATAGACAGGTGGGGGGGGGACAAAGGGAGAGTCATTTGAGGGGCACTGAACCATTGGGCAGCTGCAATGAATGTTCGTGGGCAAAGTCAATCAACTGCTGGGCGAAGACCTCAGCAATCCACGGCCAATCTCCCGTGATATTTGTATCCACGCGGAGTCTATGCAACCAGCTGTTTTTACCGCTCCTATCTCCTCAGTGGACTACCAAATCGTCACTCGTTATGTTCGCGTAGGTTTGGGTCGATGGTTATATCGATAGTCGTATTGATATAGAGAGGACTAAGAAAGTTGAGAGTTCAAATGGACAAAATAATTAGTGCCACTTCAAGGAGTTTCAACTGTGGTGATGCTTATGGCTATACTGGCCCCTGCCACGGGAATGTAACATTTTTTACCACTGGCTCAGGATCTACTAATGGAGATGAGCATAACCCCATTGCTTGTCTGACAAGTGAGATACTTTGATGTGTATGTTATTAGTAATTACTTGCTGCGCACCCATTACATCTATGGGGATATAGCAACTGCACATTCTCCTCGCACCGATGCCCTCACCCCAGACTCCTGCCTAATTGTAATAGATGCTAAAATGAACAGAATGTAGTTTGGGGAAGTTGTTGATTACATTGCTATAAAATGTGCAGACCACTTGAAGTTTAAAAATAATTAGCATTCTTGACTGCTACCAGGCACACATGATGAACTCCAATAGCCCTTGCTTATTTTTGTTATGTTTTGGCTTTTGTCCTCCTCTGGTTTTATCCAAACTTGGCTGTTGATGACTCATCTCCAGACCATGAGCTTAGAACATATATCACTGCCCTTTCACTAAATCTGGCGAGATTTATCTCTCCAACACAGGGCTATCATTAGAACAGGTGGCATGTTTTTGGAAATGTGTCAACTCAGCCTATTTTGTACGTGGGGTCATTGACGTTGGTATCACTGTGTTAGGACATCTACAGTGATTGCAAGTTTAGTCGAGTCCCCTTTGTGTGGAATGCTTATTTGAGCAGTCACACCGACTAAACGTGTGAATATGCATCACACCATAGGAAGAAACAAAACATAAATCCCAACATTACTCCATGTTCTTTCAAGCGTTGAGTGATGCTCATCTATATTGGCAGTCCTGAGCCAGTGGTGGATATTATGTTATTGATCCAGCACTCACCGATTCACTCTGGTCATTCGCTCTGTTTTTTTATTTTTTTTATTTACCAAGTAAGGCTCACTGAGCTATGTAGCACTTTTAAAGAAGTGACCTGGCCACAATTTATAGCAGCCAAATACTCTAAACGCATGTTGATTCTAAATGTGGAGGGAAAAACTGGAGGACCCGGTGAGAAAATCCACGTGACCGCCGGGAGAACATGCAAACCCCAAATATACAGGCATCTGGGTCGGGATCAAACCCACGACCTCCTACATACGAGGCGAGGAAGTTGACATCTCGCCAACACTCGCCGGCAGTCAGTCGCCTCCTTATCACTGCTCTATTGCTACTGGGTAGCACATTCACCGCTTGTTGCAGATGTTCACGGTTCAAATCCTGCGGCCGCCCTAAATATCACTGCGGGTGTCATAACCATGATGAAACTTTTCGCCATTTTGCTTCATTGACCGTGGATGTTAAAGATCCCGTGATGTATTTCGCAAACGTAGGCCATTGTATGCTGGCCGTCAGGGTCCAAATTTGCCAAATTCGAAAATTTCCCGAATACTACCCAATTGGGACTATACATAGCAATCCTTATTATTCTTATTTCGTATGGCTGATGTGGATACAGTCAACAGCTACAAGTTCACTTTCACGTGGTCAAGCCAGATCACCGCTTCAGAGTAGCGGAGTGAATGGCAACCATCACCCCTCTACTGGCAGACAAATGTCCCAGGTCACTCTTTCAGATGAAACTATTATCGTTCTTTTTATGAGTTCTCATTTGGTTAAACAAAGTGAACTTTAAACGTCCATGGTTACTGTTGCCGTGAACGTCACTCGTTGATTTCTCCACCCATGTAACCAGACGGCCTCATCTCACCCGATCAACCACCGCACTCCAGGCCACAAGACGTTTTGCTTTTTTCCTTGTGTTGCTCCGTTGTGGAATTCCCCCCCCCTCCCCACCACTGCCCTCCCCCCTTCCATCCTTGGTTATTTTTACATGTTCATACAACTTTTCTCAACTTGAGAAATGCATAAACTCTTCACTGTTTTATATTCAATACTGCTAAATGTGTGCTGGCCACGTGGCATATTGGGCCATTGGAGCAGTGCTGTTCCAATTGTGATAACAACAAAACTATTTCTCATAACACGACCGAGTCCCTCGAGACGCACCACACTATTTTGAGGGTGTGAATCCTTAGACTTACAGATAATGACCACAGAGAATCAGAATCTTTATTTATCATCATCAGGTGTGAAAAACACAGAAAGAAAAATTGAAAAAAGTGACGGTTATTTTTAACGTTAGCACCACGGAGAGCGATTTGACAGTTTGTTCAGATGGACGAGTCCATCTATGTTCGGAAAAGAGGAGGGTGGAGACGAAAATAATGGATGCGGTCTGAAAGGCACCGTAAGCGTGAACAATCAATTAAGACCCGAAATGGTTTATCAATCCTTCTAATGATTGCTAAGCCAGAATCCATCTTCTCGGTTGAAATTGTCTCTGTGTTTGTATATGTGGATAGCCTCATGAACGAATCTCTCATGGTAGCCAGATGGCTTGCAAAGAACCTCTGTCTTGGAGAAGTCAATGTCATGTGAGCCTACTGAATTATAACAGTGATCTGCCACGGCCGTGGTGTTGGTCCTACCGTATTTTAGGTCTGCTTTGTGTTCTCGAATCCGGTCCGAGACATATCGTTTGGTTTCTCCAATGTAACTACTACCACAGAGGCAACTTAGTTTGTAGACCCCAGGGTACTGTATGTCCGGAATCACATATTTTACAGAAGGAACCAGATCACGGATTTTATGTAATGTGTTGAATCGGACCTGGATCTTGTGTTTTTGTTCTACAAACAAACTGAGAGCACCCCAATGGGCTCCACCCTATCTCCGGTTGTAGCCAACATTTTAATGGAGAAATTTGAGACTGACGCCATCCAGACTGCCACTCTACGCCCAACCTTATGGAAGAGGTATGTGGATGATACTTTTGTCATCTGGCCACATGGCCGGCCTGCTCTAGACCAATTCTTCGACCACATCAATTCCATATACCCAGCCATCAGATTTACCATGGAAGTCGAAAAAGATGGCAAGCTACCTTTTTTGGATGTCCTAATAAAAATGAGACCTGATGGTTCAATGAACCACTCTGTCTACAGGAAAGCTACCCATACAGATGCTTACTTGAAACCGGATTCCCACCACCATCCATCCCAGAAGAATTCCCTCATCAAGACTCTGTACCATAGAGCCCAATGCATATCCGACCAGGAACACATAGCCACTGAACTAAAGCACGTACACCATGTTCTTAAGGCTAATGGTTACTCCGACTACACAATCCGCAAAGCTATCACTCCAACCATGAAAAAGGACCCTCTTGAGCCTTTCAAAACCATCACTTTACCCTACATTGCGGGGATCACAAAAAAGATCTACAAAATGTTGAATAAACACAAGATCCAGGTCCGATTCAACACATTACATTAAAATCCGTGATCTGGTTTCGTCTGTAAAAGATGTGATACCGGACATACAGTACCCTGGCGTCTACAAACTAATTTGCCTCTGTAGTAGTAGTTACATTGGAGAAACCAAACGACATGTCTCGGACCGCATTCGAGAACACAAAGCAGACCTAAAACACGGTAGGACCAACACCTCGGCTGTGGCAGATCACTGTTATAATTCAGGAGGCTCACATGACATTGACTTCTCCAAGACAGAGGTACTCTGCAAGCCATCTGGCTACCATGAGAGATTCGTTCATGAGGCTATCCACATATACACAGAGACAATTTCAACCGAGAAGATGGATTCTGGCTTAGCAATCATTGGAAGGATTTGATAAACCATTTCGGGTCTTAATTGATTGTTCACGCTTACGGTGGCTTTCAGAGCGCATCCATTATTTTCGTCTCCCCCCTCTTTTCCGAACATAGATGGACTCGTCCATCTGAACAAACTCTCAATTCGTTCTCCGTGGTGCTTACGTTAAAAATAAATAAATACAAACCGCCACTTTTTTCAAATTTTATTGCTGTGGTTTTCACACCTGATGATGATTGCTTGTGTTGCAGTCGAAACGTCGTGAGAATTTTATTGTTTGATATTTTTTTTATTTTGTTGTTTACCTTCTACGTGACTTTACCGAAAGCACCAAGAATACAAACCAGTCAAATTAAATAAATTAAATAGGCCGCATTTAAGTACAAATTACATATACAGAGGCAGTCGCATGGACGTTGTCCCGCTTTGATGTGCTCGGACACCTGTATCGGCGGTCACACAGGCTCCAGGATGGGGAGTCCAGGACAGGCGAGGAGGAGGAGGAGGAGGAAGAAGAAGAGGATGGAGTGGAAGAGCAGGGAGGTGCGATGAAGGGAAGCCGGATGCCGGTGGGGCGGAGGGGAACTGCGGCGGCGGCAGCGGCGGCAGCGGCCCGTCTCGCCGAGGAGCGCACCGCCCTCCTCACCGCCCACTTCCTCTTCGCCGTGGTGTGGGCCGTCGGCGGAGTCCTGGACCGGCCCTCCAAGGAGAGGTGCGACGCTGGCTACGGCGCGCCGGTGGCTCTGCGATGGGTGGCAGCCCCCTTCTTCGCTTGTATGCTCACGCCTCTGCTGGCGGAAGGGCCTCCACTAAGAGGGAGCTCGAGAAATGACCTCTCGGTGGACATTTGGTCTAAATCTTGACTTGAAGCTTTCGTGACTGCAGGAATCCATACCTTTTGGTTCTTTCAGTAATGTCACATAGGTAGAGATAATAATAATAGATCACGATGTTTCGATCGCAACACAATCAAGCGTCTTTTTTTTTCACCTGACGACGATTGCTTGTGTTGCGATCGGAACGTCGTGATCTATTATTTTTTCTACCTATGTGACTTTACCGAAAGAACCAAAGAGTATTTGGTCTAAACTTACACTCTGGCCAGACCTCTCGGAAGAGGTGGGAATACCCACACTTTACCGCACTGCACACCGCCTGCTGATCGATTAACTGCGGTGTGTCCATTTATACTGGATAGAGGTGGAAGGATTTCAGAAACGTGCCCATTGTTTCAACTGCTAAAACGAGAGATGAAACAGGTGAGACCTCTGGGTTACAAGTCATGGTGTGCCAATCGTTGTACCACAGCAAGATCCCAGTGTTATTAATATCAACCACCTGGTACCACGACAGGGTCGCGTTGGTGAGTGCACTATGCTATGAACCTATCGACCTGAATGTTTTACCCAGCCATCATCTAACATCACTGGCTGGTGGGTGATATCTTAACTTGTCCTGGGCCTCCCCTGGGTCGAGGTGGCCTTAAATCAGTACCTGGTGCAGTGTGTAAAGATCCACAATGGGGAGACAAAAGGTTCTGGCTCTACCCCCTCATGGTTTGATCCCGACCCTGACACCTGTAAATTTGGAGTTTGCATGATCTCTCTCCCCCTGTGGTCCGGTGGATTTTTCTCCAGGTCCTCCAGTTTTTCCCTCCATATTTAGAAACATGCGCGTCGAGTATTTGGCTGCTATACATTTCCACGTGATAAGTCACTTCATTGGGCTATCATTTGTGGCCAGGTTGCTTCTGATAAAGAGCTATATAGCTCAGTGGGCCTTACCTGGTAACATAAAAATAAAAATGTTTCGTCGTTTAAGTTTAGTCATTCACCTTTAGGGCAATGCTATTAGTGAGTACCTATACTCTTTGGTTCTGTCGGTAAAGTCACGTAGGTATAAAATAAATTAAATCACGACGTTTCGGGCGGAACACAAGCGTCCGTCATCAGGTGGGACAACCACAGCAGGAAACAATTGCTGAAGTGGGCAAAAGGGCTGCCGTGACAAGAGGCTGTATAGGTAATAGAGGGAGGAGGAGCCAGGGAGTAGAGATAGAGAGGGGGTGTGGGGTAGGGGGAGTGGAGTGCTGCAAGCTAGAGGGATTACAGGGTGAGCAAGGCACAAGCACGACACAATGCCGGGGGGGGGGGGGGGGGGGAAGTGAGCGGGGCTGGGAGTGGGAGGCTGAAGAAACTGGAGATGCGGATATGAAGGCAACACCATAAAGCAGTTAAGGTTTTACCTGGTTAATAACGTCCGTCCAATGATTGCTCAATTTGTATCCATCTTCTCGGTTGAAGTTATATATCTGGATGGCTTCATGAACAAACCTTTGATAGTAGCCCCGAAGGTTTGCAGAGTACCTTGGTCCAGGAAAAAACAATATCACGAGAGCCCCCAGTGTTATAGCAATGGTCAGCCACAGCGGAGGTATTGGTTCTGCCGTGATTCAGATCTGACTTGTGCTCGCGAATACGGTCCGAGATATGTCGTTTCGTTTCCCCAATATAACACCCACCACATGTGCAACTTAGTTTGTAGACTCCAGGATATTGCATGTCAGGAATTGAGCAATCATTGGAAGGATGTTATTAACCAGGTAAAACCTTAACTGCTTTATGGTGTTGCCTTCATATCCCTGCAGTCACGAAAACTTCAAATCTAGTGAGTGCCTATTGGCCAGCACTACGTGTGGGTATTTTGTCCTCCCGTTGCCTTTCTTTGCACACTGTCCCAGACGTTTATTTAAAGTCTTGAGCTGACCTAGAGGCAATCCAGAACAGGTTCAGACACCATTTGCCACCGATCAGCGCTGGGAATCAAATCCAGGTCACCAGGTTTGTAGCAATAGCCCACTAAGCACTGCGCCACCATTCAAATTACAAATGTCTCCCCTCCAGCCTTAACAACAGACTGTTGGGCGAATGATGTTTGCAAGCAGCACGCGCACACGCAGACACATTTGCATGCGTACAAAAGAAGAATTTTGTTAAATAAGTAAAATTGACAAAATTCACCTTGTGGTTTGGCAGATTGAAGCATAATTCCAGGAAATAATCATATACACAAAAACTGTTGAGGTATTTTCTTGGCAGTTACTTTACACCGTTTTTACATATAAATAGTTTAGCATGTTTTTTTCATGAGTTTTTTTATTTTTACAGCTGTCTCGGTCTCGTTATTCAGTAGCTTGTCCGTGACTGTATGGGTTCCAGAGATAGCCCAGACTTTTGACGCTATATTAAACCAAATTGCTTTGTAATGTTTGTAAAGAGAATATAATAGTTGGTATGCATGCATCAGACACCCTTTAACTGGAATAGCAAAATATGAAAACTGCTTTGACCTTTAATTATTTACCCTTACTCTGACAAAGTCCAAACTATTGCTGTGTTTAATTAAATCTGGGTTTGTCTATGGCCTCAGAGGAAGCCACTTCAGAAGTTAGTGAATGGATATTATGAATGTCATCATGAGAATGTATTATCGTAATACATATATAAAGTATATTAAAAAAAAGTTACAGAAACATTTTGTGAATCGCTATCGTGTTGAGGCAAGCAACACTGCATTTCCAAAAAGTTATTTCCATCCTGTTTATTTTAATGTTGTGGCGTGCATGGGTGTATGTGTGTGTATGTGTGTGTGGTGTTGTGGGGAGCGGTGGTGTCGCGGTTAGCGCGCTGCGCTATGAACCCGGGAACCCGAGTTTGATTCCCGCTCACGGCCAACAACAGTGACAATTATCTGGATCGGTCCTGGGCCTCCCCTAGGTCAATTCAGCCTCAAATGAGTACCTGGTGTAGTGTGTAAACATCGCCACTGGGGAGACAAAGGTCGCCGTGCGTGGGGCTGGCCACCCACCCCCTCGTGTGCCGTGCCGGCCTTCATAGGTGCGACTCGCTAACAGCACTTGCCCCAACAGTCTCTTTAGGCTATACGGGGGATCTTTCTCTTTGCTGTGTGTTGACGTTTGTGTATATGTGGAGATGCTCACTAACAGCACTTGCCCCAACAGTCTGCTAAGGCTATATGGGGCATCATTGTCTTTATATATGCGGTGGTGTTATTTGTGCGCGCAGTGTGGTGTGCACATGGGTTCAGTGTTCTGTGATTTTGCGATTGGTGTGTATGCGGTATTGTGTCAATTAGCGTTTACGTATGTGGTGTTGTGTGTGTGAGCCCAGTATTGTCTGCATTTTTTTTAGTGTTTTGGCTTATGTGTGTGCATAATTGTGCGTGCAGTGTCGCATTGTTTTGTGTGTATGTATGTGCGGTGCTGTGTGTCAACATTCATGTAGTATTGTGTGTGTTGACCAGTGTGCGTGTTTGTGCGTGTAGCAGTAAGCTTGCTGCGCTACCAACCCGGCAACCCGAGTTCCATTCCTGCTCACAGCCTACACCAGTGATGATTATCTGAAACCGTCATGGGCCTCTCCTAGGTCAACTCAGCCTCAAATGAGTACCTGGTTCGATGTGTAAACAACGCAACTGGGGGAGAACAAAGGCGGCCGGGTGTGGTGCTGGCCACCCACCCCATCATGCGCCGTGATGGCCTTCATAGGTGCTCACCAACAGCACTGGCCCCAGCAGTTTGTTGAAGGCTACATGGGACATCTGTGTCTTGGTGTGTGTACAGGTCATGTTGACCTGTGCGTGCTCACGTGGTGTTGTAGTGGTTCACCTTCCCTACTATCCATACGTCTTCGAATTATGTCCTTAGCGTGAACAACTCTCATGGCAATATAGTGCCTGAACCTGGCTTGGTTCTACCCGCGGACAACTCACCCTCAACGAATTATCTTGTGAAAATAGACAAAAAACATACTCTGATAATAGACGGCTTTCTTTGGTGTGGACCAATCAGTTTCAAAGACAATGCATATATTATCAGAATTTTTTTTGCATTCTGCCCACAAGTATTGTGGTTAATGCAGACATGATTCCTTGTAAAAGGTTTCAGTTTGGTGTTTTAACATCTCAACACCCGTTTTGTTGCCAGAAAAAAGGGTAAAACCTATTCTCATATTTTGCTACTGGAAAAGGAGGTCCCATGATAATTAACTTGTGTGCGTGTGCTACGTCAGCATCAGCAATAGGGAAACAAGGGTAGGCAGGCACGGTGCTAACCACATCGCCGCCTTGTGTGCTCGTTAACAGCAATTGCTTCAGCGATCCGTGTGGGTGAACGGGATATATTTGTCTCTCTATGAGGGCGTGAATGTCCTTGTGCTGGGTGCAGCAGTTACGTGGTTGTTAGCGGCCACCTGTGATTTATTACAATGCAGTAATTATGAGACACCGTGTTTAATTCTTGGCTTCACACGTAACTAATCGTTGGATTCTGTAAATGTAGACATTTCTCATGTGCAAGCGCAACTTAAAATGCACACCTAGCGCACTGCGGCAATTGAATTTCAAAGCGAGGGCAGCTTAGCGAAACGCTCACCTGACCTATTCACATTTTCATTATCGCTGATATAATAGAGTGTGCGTGTATAATTATCATCATCAGCCATGAAATATTAACGGTAGGGTTGAAGATATGCCCACACCAGTGCCATTCATCATGCTGTATTTATGTATGTGGGACTTCGTTCGCCATCGTACGTAAGCCAACCGTGCTAATCGGAGGTGTTCTTGCGGTGCCATGGTTCTTGTCGCCGCTGTACACGGGCAGATCTCATCTCTCCACCTCCACCAGTCGTC